AAAAAGAATAAAATAAAATAAAAAATTCAAAGACGAGCCTCTTTCTCTATTTGGACATTTAATTTCTCCCTTGGAGCCATGGGTGAATTTGAATACTAAGGGGCATGGTCTTTTGGTTAGCAACAAAATATGGAATGGACTGTATCACAAGAGCTCTCAAGTATTCACCTTATTATGTGAGATCCCAGCAGAGCACTGAAAGCTCGTCTGCCGTTCTATGGCCGCTCTCATCTCCTCCACAATCACGGCTCCCACGGTGAGCTGCAAGTCTGGAGAGGCAATGTTATCCAACGGGAGAGAATCAAGCCATTGTCCTAAGCCTTGTTTTCGCATCTCCTCTGGAAAAGTTAAGAGGTCTCAATTAGGCTAATTTTTTTTAAGAAACTCACTTTATTTATGCAAACACAGACATGTTAAGATTTTAGGTAACTTGCCAGGTTGGTTTTCATACACACAAAAAAATAAAATTCCATCTATTTTCTGAAAAATAAGTAAGGTAAGAAAGATCAATATTTCCTTCATACCATTCTTAGCATGCCAGAAAAATGTCTCTCGTTCATTGACTATGCAAAGGCATTATGCAGATGACACAACCTTACTTGCTGAAAGCAAAGAGGACTTGAAACGCTTGCTGCAGAAGGTCAATAACTGATGTCTTCAATATGGATTGAAGTTTAACATCAAGAAAACAAAGATTCTCACCACTGGGCAAACTAGCAGCATCGTGATAGATGGGAAAGAGATTGAGGTTGTTAACAATTGTATCTTGCTTGGCTAGACAATCAACACTCTTGGCACTAGCAATCAGAAAATCAAAAGACAAACTGCTTTGGAAAATCTGCTGTCGTGGACCTCTCCAGAGTACTGAAAATCAACGATGTCAGTTAGAGACCAAAGTGCACCTAATCCAGGCCATTGTCTTCTCAATTACCTGCTATGCATCAGAGAGCTGGATAATGACTAAGGATGACAGAAGAGGAATTGATGCCTTTGGGTTGAATTGCTGAAGAAGAGTCTTGAACATATCATGGACTGTCAAGAAAACAAACAGGTCTGTCTCGGAGATGGTGGAACCAAGTTTCTTCTTGGGTCTAGGATTTTGAAGTTCCATCTCAGAGACTTTCTAAGGGTGCTCTGGTGACATGGTCTGTAGTGAGCTTCACTGTTAACTCAAAGGCCACACCTTTCTAGAGGGTTGAATCCAACAGCCACTCTGGGAGAGAGATGGCAATCTCCTCTCATGTAATAGAGGCTCAACTTTGATTTGGTTAAAACTTCCTACATGCAACAATTTCAAAACCAGAATATACAAAGTTGTGAATGCAACTTTCTCAGTTTTCAGTTTCTTCCTTCAGTTGGTGTTTGAGCGACTTCTCTTTTCCTTTTATAAACACAAATTCTAGAATTATCTGTCTGTGCTATCTTTGGTTTTTAGCCACCTCGTTGAAGACTGATCTGGGTTGTGGTCTGCCTGCTCCACCATCTTACCCAGGAGTACCTTCTTACACATTTGCCCTTCTAACTGCACATTTTTCCTAGAAAATCCTGATTTTTATCTGTGTGTATCCTTTGTATCTTTTGCTATAGTGGGTCTGGTTTAAATGTACAGCTTCAAATGCAGTGAAATCCTTTATTGTGTATGGTATTCACAGTGTGACTGTTGAATCAGGCAGTGGATTGTGATGCTATTTCCTATCATATTACTGAGTCACCTTTTGATAAGTGCAGCCAAACCAGACTATTTCAGCTTAACAAACTGATGCTCTACTAGATGGGTAAGACTTTCCAGAAATGATTTTTCATGACTGTGACACCTATCAAATCTAAGAAAAAAGGAGGTTATTTTTGATGTTTTGATGCAGAGATTTCCATTCAGTTTTATCATCCTGCCTCTTAATGAGTTAAGAGCAGTCCTGCAAAACCATCTTACTTCACAACTTTGTATATTCTGATTTTGAAATTGTTGCATGAAAGTGTTGTTGTTGTTTGTTGTTATGTGCCATCGAGTCACTTGCGGCTCATAGCGACCCTATGTACAAGAGCCCTAAATGCCATTCTATCCTGTGCCAGAATTGCTCCATCTCATTGAGGGTCTTCCTCTCCTGCACCGTCCCTACACTTTCCCAAACAAGATGTCCCTCTCCAAGAACCTGCCCCTTGTTGCAACATGCCCAAAGTGTGTCAGACGAAGCTTCAGAATCCTTGACTCCAGGGAACATTCTGGCTTCACCCTCTCCAGGACAAACTTGTTTGTTCTCCTAGCAGTCCATGGTATATTCAATACTCTTCTCCAGCACCACAGCTCAAAGGCATCAATTTTCCTTCTATCATCCCTATTCACTGTCCAACTCTCCGATGCATAGCAAGCAACTGCAAAGACCATAGCCCAGATAAGGCGCACCTTAGTCTCCAGCCTGACATGGCTGCTCTTCAGTACCCTTGAGAGGTCCCTCACAGCCGACTTTCCCAGTGCAATTCATCTCTTGATTTCCTGTCTGCTGTTACCAAGAGTGTTGACTGTGGAACCAAGTAAACTAAATGTATTAATTATCTCAATCTCTTCACCATCCATACTGATGATGCCAATTGGCCCAGTGGTAAGAATCTTTGTTTTCTTGATGTTGAGCTTCAATCCATATTGAAGACTTCAGTCATTGACCTTCTGCAGCAAGCGCTTCAGGTCCTCCTCAGTTTCAGCAAGCAGGGTTGTGTCATCTGCATAACACAGGTTGTTGATGTTTCTTCCACCAAATCCTGATGCCACATTCCTCCTCGTACAGCCCAGCGTCTCGGATGATCTGTTCTGCATATAGATTGAAAAGGTATGGAGACAGAATACATCCCTGACGGTCGCCCTTCTGGATTTTGAACCATCTAGTGTCCCTCTGCTCTGTTCTGCCTCTTGGTTCAAGTATAGGTTTCGCATTAGCACAATCAAATGTTCTGGGATTCCCATTCTTCTCAGAGTCAACCATAGTTTGTTGTGTGTAGAAAATGTTAACTAAGTCAAAGTTGAGCTTCTATTACATGAGAGGAAAATTGCCCATCTCTCTCCTGAAGAGTGGCTGTTGGATTCAAGCCTCTAGAAAGGTGTGGCCTTTGAGTTAACAGTGAAGCTCCCTACAGACCATGTCACCAGAGCACCCATGGAAAGTCTAAGTAGCAGGATTTACTTTTCCATCATGGCTGTTTTTACACTAGTTTATTTTGCGTAATGAACTTCCATTCTGTCCTCTTCTCTTTTCTTGCTCTTAATTCCTATCTTTAATAATTAATCATGAGAGCCTGGATGCCTCTAGGAATAATTATTGTGATAAAAATAGGGCTGATCAGCCAAGGCAGAAGTGGGGGGAACACGCAGGTGGAGCTGAGCGCAACTATGTCTGCGGCGCTGCTGCGGCGGAGTCTGGAGCTGCTGGTGATATCCGAGGCCCCCAAGTGGCGCCCAGCCAGTCCAAGCAGCAGGGAGCTTCGGTGAAGCGGCCTGGAAGATGAAGATGGCCCAGGCCCGGGAACTACGGAACTCGGCCAAGGGAAAGGTGCCCAAGTCGGCACTGGGCTGCAACAGTTCCATGATGCATCTTCAAGGATATGAACATGTACGGCTAAGCACAATTGATAACAGTGCATCTAAATTCCAAAATCAATCTCCACAATAGTCTACGTGTTTCCTATTGCCAAAGGGGCCTTTTAGAGTAGTGAGAGAAGGTCTTAATCCTGAAACCTACAGCGTCCTTTTTCAGCAGGGAGTAGCTAAGTGAATACGCTGTGCCCTTTTCCTTATGAATCAGGGTGAAATCTCTCTCAGGGAGAAGTGATAGGGAATGGCAAAGGACACACTGACAAAGGAGATTAATCAGAACTGGTTTTGACAAGCACTGTGGCAAAAGGACAATTAAAACAGACTTTCAAGGGGAAAAAAAAAGAGGAATGAACTGGAGGGGTTAAAGAAAATAGTGCAACAATGAATGAATGGAAATCCAAAATCTCTGTAAATGTTCATTAAAATTAATAAAATAAAGGGAGCTCTGGTGGCCTAGTGGCAAGAAACTGCACTGGAATCCCAGATGTGCCTGGTTCGAATCCACCAGATGCTCTGCTGGAGAAAGAAGGACAATCTCTTCCTGTACCAGTCAGATCTGATTTGACGGTACAATGCACAAAAAATACTAAAAATAAATTAAAAAAATAAATAAAATTAATAAAATTTTTAAAATATGCTCACAAAAATAAAATATATAATATATAAAATATAATAATATATAATAATTTTTTTTAAAAAAGGCTGGTGCTACCCTTCCATTGTAGATTTCCTTTAAGGAATTATGTGGTCTAGGCATGAGTGATGAACACCTGAGCAGCTCAATGGTATCAATTCCTCCTTTGTTATCCTTATTCACTGTCCAGCTCTCAGACACATAGCAAGTGACTGAAAAGATCATGACCTGAATCAGGCACACTTTAGTCCTCAAAGTGACATTATTGCTCCTTAGTAAGTTGGAGAGGTACATGACAGCAGACTTTCCCAACGCAATCCACCTCTTAATCTCCTGACTGCTGGTATCAAGGGTATTGACTGTAGATCCAAATAAGATGAAATAGTTGATAATGTCTCTCTTTTCTCCATCTAACATGATGTTGGTTGAGTGGTGAGAATTTCTGTCTTCTTGACACTGAGATTTAATCCATAATGAAGGCTGTAGTCTTTGATCTTCTGCAGCAGTAGTTTCAAATCCTCCTCACTTTCAGCAAGCAGGGTTGTGTCATTTGTATAATGCAGGTCATGATGAGTCTTCCTCCAATCCTGATGCCCCATTCTTCTTTACAGAGTCCAGTCTCTTGAGTGATTTGCTCAGCATACAGATTGAATAGGCACTTAGATTAAAAAACCCTGACCCATACCCTTCTTAATTTTAAACCATGCAGTGTTCTCTTGCTCTGTTCAAACAACCACCTCTTGGTCTAGGTTTCACATGTACACAATTTAAGTGTTCTAAGATTCCCATTTTTTTCCCATAATTTGTTATAATCCACACAATCAAATATCATTGCCTAGTCAAATAGATATTTTTGTCATTTTTTGCTTTCAGCCAGGATTCATCTGACACCAGCAATGATATCCCTGGTACCAAGGCCTCTTCTAAATCCAGCAGTTCTCACTGTATTATTCTAGCCATTTGTGCATGATCATCAGCAACAGTTTGTTTGCATGTAATATTAATGACATTGTTTGGTGATCTCCACATTCTGTTGTATCATTCTTCTTGGGAATGAGAATATGGATTTCTTTTGTTCAGCTGCCCAGACAACCATCCTACAAATTTCCTGACACAGACTG